GACAAATCAATTGACCATATCATATTTTCTTTTATTGAACTAGTGAGATGAAATCAATTCTACCATGCTTCAAACTTGAAACTTTGATAAAATCGTTAGGTAAAAATGGAAGGGTGCACATGAATGAATCATAAATTCTAGAATATGTTGATACATATCTCTGAATATAAACTAAAATTTCAATAATAGAAACATAAGTAAAATACTTTCTCATACCTACTCCTAGGTCTTAGCTTAGCCATCTAGTCGGCTTTTCCTATTTCTTTAAATGATTTTATTTTATATGTTTTATTAATTCATTTAGATTAATTATTATTGATTGCGATTTTATATTTATTATTCGAAATATTGGATGAGGCGAAACATATTCTTACCTCTTTGTATTTTTATTGGGGGAGGGGAGGAGATGGAAGATCGCTCCCTCCCCCTGAAGTCTGCGCCTACGGGGGAGAATAGTCAGTGAAAAATGATTGGTTTGAGACACCTTTCCGCCATGCTACTACTTCAGGGCTACAAGTTACTCAAGTTATTATACTGTCCTAAAGACAATTATTGTCATGAAAAGCAAGGAAAAAACGAATAATATACATTGGCTAGAGTGTATTAGCATCATAAATGACAAATTACAATCATGAAATCTAATTTAAAACCTTAAAGCATTGATCACGTGACCGACAGTCAGAGTCGCAGGCGTAGACATTGATTGATATTTTTTAAATATACAATTAAATTAATTATATTTTGTTTATATTCATAAGATATAATTATTTGCATTGCAAAAATAAAAATATTTTACTGGTAAAAATATGCACACTTCTATGCCCTATCCATTATTTACATATATCCCTCACTTCACAATAATTAAACTCTCTAACCAATCTCTTTCTATAATTACAGGCCAAATGACAATATTTCATCAAACCATAAATCTTTTTACCATTTAACTGTTCAATTAACGCATTTAGTAGTTCTTTGTGAATTATTTTCTTAACTCATTTAGATTACGTAGGGTACATATTTGGACTTGAGCCTCGATATATATTTTATAATTCAGGTTAAATAACTCGAGCCTTGTTTTGAAAACTAAACTTATATCATTAATCCTCAGAACATCAGAAATTTGTTTGTTTTATTTAATCTCTCCCTGTTGTATTTTTGGATGTTTTGTTCTAATACTTCTCTAGCTTGGCGTTATTTATTTTATATTTATTGTGCTTAATAAATACATAGGAGTGTTAATTTGATAATAAATAATTATTGGTTTCCACTTTTGACCTGTTTTCGTTAATTATTTTCGTCTCACTTTTTGGGCATAGGTCCAATGCAATAAATAATCACCCTCGATTTACAGCATTATTCTTTATTAACTTTTTATTTGTACTTTTCACGAATCCTTTTTCTATCCTTAAAAATCTCCTGTCATTCTCAATTTTAAAATGTATAGCATTTTACTTTTTTATGTAACTTAATTTAAACTATTTTATATATATTTATTAAGACAACAACCTTAAAGTTTAATTAGTTACTTTAACGTTAATAAAGCAAATTAAATAAATTTTGAAAATCGTGAACGATTGGTTCAGGATAGAGCCCATAATGTATTATTTATGAAAAATTTAAATGCTATAGAACGAGCAAAAAATTCTTGAATTATATAAATAAAAATTAACGAAGAATAAAGCTGTAACCGAGGGTGATTATTTATTCAATTTCACCTATAGGCAAATTGTAAGGGGAGACTAAAAGATGAACACTTCAACTATTTGAACCTTTCAGTTGGCAGAACAGACTCTCCAATTTAAACATTTTTGAGTAAAGTAATTTTAGTTATATTCATAATAATACATTAAAAATGTATAATATCTGTACATTTATTTTATGTTTACTGTGGGTAAACAGTTATAACGTGAAATTAATTTATTTTATACATAATTATATTTAGAGGAAATAAATACACAGCAGAGTTAATTGGATAATAAATAAATATTACTTTCCACTTTTGACCTGTTTTAATTAATTATTTTTCTCACTTTTTTGCTATAGGTCCAATGTAATAAATAATCTCTCTCAATTTACAGCATTATTCTTTATTAATTTCTTATTTATACCTTTCAGTAATCCTTTTTCTTTCCTTAAACATCCACTGAACAAGGCATTCTCAATTTTAAAATGTATAACACCTTACATTTGTATTTAACTCATTTTAAACTATGTTATATATATATTTATTAAGACAACAACCTTAAAAATTAATTTAAATTAATTAAAAATTATTAAAAAATTAATTTGCCTTAAATGATAACTTACCTTAACGTTAATAAATCAAGTTAACTACAATTTGAAAATTGTCAACGGTTGGTTCAGGATAAAGCCAATAATGTAAATTTAAATGCTGAAGAACGGACAATGAATCCTTGAAATATAAATAAATAAAGAATAATGCTGTAACCGAGGGTGATTATTTATTCAATTTCACCTATAGGCGAATTGTAAGGGAAGGATAAAAGATAAATACTTCAACTATTTGAACCTTTCAGTTGACTATTTGAACAACAACAACAACTATTTGAACTCCAATTTCAACATTTTTGAGTTAAGTAATTTTAGTTATATTCATAATAATATATTAAAAATTTATAATATGTGTACGGATGATGATTGAATTGCAACCATATCCCAAGAATAGCAAAGACAGTTGGACAACTGCTCACCTAGCAAATTAAAGACAATAAAGAAAGAGGTGCAACCGTGAAGCAGCTCCAAACGCAGCAATCGTTGAGAAGAGGTCGTCCTCACGCGGCTGAGGAGCGGACATACTAGACTGACTCACCTCCACCTCATTACAAAAGAACTTATCAACAGATATCAAAATTGTAACCAGTCACTAACTATTAAACTTGTTTTGGAAGAGTGCCCTTTTTACACCGCAAGGTTAAAAGATCTCGGAATACCCAGAATATATCAGCATTCCTGGGTATCCAAGAAGAAATCCTTACACCATGAGTTATGAAGAAAAGTTATGAAGTTTCTAAACAATGAATAAAATATAAAACATTTATGACAAGTTGATTTATTTATATATTTTTTATTTTATTTTAAAAGTTCATTGATTTATTAATTTTAATTAATTTATTGATTTTATTGCTTTTTTAAAAGTTTATTTATTTATCTGTTTTATCACATTATCTATGATTGTCTATTATTACCTTTATTTATTTATTTTATTCTTTTTTTACCATCCACTTAAACAGTACAAATATAGTGTTATTTAGTTGATCGGGCGTTGATGACCTGGATGTTTTGCATTGCTAGACATCGAAACAAACAAGTTGTTTCCGGAATAGGTGATAGCAGTGTTGAAATATAGAACTGTAAATAAAGATAGAAATTTCCCCGCTAGAAATATCATTAAAATTAATAAACAAAAATGTTAAATTTGGATTGAGTCATTCTGTCATCTGTAAGGCTCATTTATTAGTAGGTTTAGAGCATTTAATCTGATAGTCAGTTACACTAGGGAATATATTTAAATATGTATATTTCTCATTAATTTCACATTCGCCCTTAGTGGGGTGTGATAAAGAGCGATTTTCTACTATAATGAATATTACAAAAGAAAACTACAGGATATTACAGAAATTATTACTGTTTCCTTATACGTTGTTTTCTCCATTGTTCTCATAATCTCGTGATGTTTCCTTTGAACTTTTGTTCTCGTTTTAATAATAAAACTTGAAGAATCCTCGAAAAGAGGTTCCTTTCTCGGAGACAACAATGGAGTCGTAATGAGAGATTGTAATCAGCCGGGAGTACATTAGGCCCGGTCCAATGAGTTGATGCATTAGTGAGCCGCTCTCCTTTGTCGCCGATCTTGCTCACCTCAGTCGCTGTCTTGAGGAGCAGTCTTTGTCCCATATCCCTTTATCAGTCCCTTGACGTATATTCTTTGATATTTCTGTCTCTCCTCTCATCTTTTACATTGGTAATTCCATAGGAGGCACTAATTTTTTTTAGGACAATAGGTGTCTCCAGCTAATGAATATGGAATGCTCTGGTGTTCTGTTACTGTAATTAATAATATACAGGGTATGTCGAAATTGCACGGCACTATTTTATGCATGTGTTCACGATGCTAATTTTAATCACTGATACTTTGATCCGGTGAAAGATAAAAACCTGAACCACCATAATTCGTGAGCCTAGTTAAATCTTCCAATGTACTAGAAACAAGTGTGATCAATTTAACGACCACTGCTGACTGGAGATTGGAATGCAAAAAAATCCTAAATGAAAAATGGCAATTCAAGTGGAACCAATCTACGAATAAATTGCAAGAAATCAAAAAAGATACCAAACCGTGGACGACCTCTTTCAGAAAGAACAGGAAAGAAGAAACAATTTTAACTCGGCTTAGAATTGGACATGCAGCCTTTACCCATGGCTACCTAATGAGAGGTCTGGAACCACCATTTTGTAAAACATGCAACACATCACTTACACTGAAACACATTGTGGGGCATATGTCGGGGGAAAAACCATTATTCACTTTTATAATTTTAAATTTCATGTTAATTATATTTTATTTAATATTCATGTAGACATATCTTATTTTTTTGCTTATCAAATGGATTTTAGTTTAAATAATTAATATAATTATAGTTTTTCCCATAAAACTTCAATGTATTTAATATTTTCAGACCAATGTTATATTAGCGTATCAGCAAAATTTGCTATTTTCAGGTTAGACATTTTCCTTTGGATTAGACATTTTTATAAAAAAAAAAAAAGTGAGACTCATCAGTCTTTAACACGATGTGACCAACTTAAATAACAAATTAGTTTGTTTACGTACACAATCATCATTTTGATCCCAAATATCACAGTTAGGCAGATTTTCAGATCTGCCACTATGCCGTTGAACCGACTATACATTACAACTTGAAATTAATTTTTTAACGAATTTAATTATTTACTTAAAAGATATTTTTGTTTTAAAGTTAATTTTTGTTATTTTTTTTTGTTATCAGGGTGATGCAGTACACAGGATTCGTTTGGCTCATTTTCTCGAGCCTGTTCGTTACGCTTCGTGGGGAGTTTTCAGCACAAGGTTAGTATAGGTGTTACGTTGAATTCATAAAATGTTATATGATAAGAATAATTGATGAAAAACTAAATAGCTATTTTTTATACATTTTTTTCGTTATTTCAGAAAATATAAATATAGTCCAACAATATCGAATTGGCTCTAAACTTGACATAATATTTATAATCTAGTTGAGCCCTGAAAAATGAATTTTTAAGCTCTTGAAACGAGAGTCATTTGAAAACGAATTTCGAATAGCTGAGCTAAGTTCTTGGTCAATAGTAAACATTAATAAAAGCAATAAATATAATTTAATTTAAGTTCATTTAGGTTAAATTCTGATTATAAAACCAAATATTTGTTATCTAGTATTTTCATACCAATACTTTTTTTTCTCCTAATTCTTCGCATTATTTACATTTTTTACTCTTTTTTTATTGAATAGTTGTATATAATTAAAAAAAATATATATATATTCAGTCAATGTCGCGAGTTTTTCCTAACTTGTCCCACTGCGCGGCAGCGTTTTGCAAACATTCCACCTTATATTTTTCATCAAAAAAAGCTTATCTATGTAAAAGAAAATATTGGTTACTAATAACTTTTGTATATAATAGAGAGGTGATATCGATGACTTATCTCATAAAAGTTGTTAGGACCGTAAAAATAATTTTACTGAAGGAAACAAAAAGAATATATTAATTAGTATAAAATGATTTTTAATATTTGGTTGTTTCATTGTGGAAAACACAACAACGAATTAAAAGTTTTAAAGTAAATGAGTGAATATTAGGTATTGCAAAATTTTAAAATTTTAGAAAATTGAACTTACATTGTTTTGGTAGTAATTTTTTTAGTTCCTTGAAAAAGTAAAAGACAAAAAAAAACTACTGATCACAAAAAACAACATTGAATAAAGGTTAAACGGCTACTAAAAAAAAAAAAAGAAAAGAAATTCACTTCAAATGAAACTTTCATTTATTAATAAAATATAACGTGGTTTGGCAACATTGTTTCATTTATGCATTTTTAAGATGACCTAAAAATCTTCATACTATGAACTCATTCAACAAAATCTTTGTTATTAATGACTCAAAGACTTCGTAGTAGTTGAGTTTATAGGTTATCCCACATAACCCAACTATAGAATATTATTGATCGGAAACCTACTGCACCGCATTAATTTTTAAGCAAACAATTTCTCGTGCACAATACAACTCTCTCGTATATAGCGTGATGATTCGATATTAGATGTAAGATATAAATAATTATGAACACGAAATGTTTACATTTTTATTATTTATTATCCGAGTTATTTATGTAATATATTTATCACAACCAATAAAATTTTATTGTTAATATTTCGTTATAAAGATTTTTTTGTGACTACTTTCTTATTCAATAGCGATATGATAAGGAATTCTCCAGAAAAATTGCATTACTGTTAAACAAAAATTATCTTTTTACACTAATTATTTTTTATCTGCTAGAGAATTTTAAACAATTCTACGGTCTGATATAACTCCCAATTACTCAAAAATCAGAACATTTATCTTACCTTTGAATATTTTAATTTGTTACATAATTTAGAACTTTTAAATAAAATCTTAAATTCACCGAAATATAATGGAAACGGCGATATCTTAATTTGAAAATTTTCTTTTGAAATAATCATTTACGTTCGTTGTTAATACTCATTTTTCTTGCAAAGTAAACGTATACTGTGGTTTATTTAATTAATTCATGTATAATCCCTTAACAAATGTTAATAAATTCTTATTTGATATTACATTATACAATTATATACATTTAAAAACAAAAATTAAAAAAATAATTAAAAGTACGATCATGAACAACATTCTTTAAGAGGTACCGATAAAAAAATCATGAGATTTTAACAATATTTATTTTTGACTGGTGAATATTGTTTTTAATGTTATTATGGTTTTATGAATAGGCTAATTTCTATTGGTAAATCCTCTGAAAGAATTTTTTATGTGTTTGTTTCAGATGAAAAAATAAAATGTATGTAAATCATAATATCCCTGAAGATGATTGAAGAGGTGAAAACTTGGATAAATTCAAAATAAAGTATCTACTTATCGAGACTAAAAAGGCCTTTTTCTACTGATAATTATAATAATATCTTTCCCAAGATCATCTTTTATAAAAAAAAATTTGATTGTAACAAGTTTTATAATTATTTTAATTTTAGTTCATTGAACAGTCGGTTATGAAATATCAAGCAATCGCTGAAATATTTTTTGGGTCTGATATTTTTTTTTTCTAAATTTATTTTTCTTGATAAATTCTTGTTCTAACAAAAGCTTGTTTTAGTGTGATTTGGATTAACTGGTTGTCACAACCTATATTGGGAGTATGACATTTAACAGAACTAAGGCAATTACTATATATGCCAAGCTTCACGAGTGCATGGCATTTCAACAGTTTCAACAAGTAAATTAGCTGAGTAAAGCGATTTGCTACACTTCACATATTTATAGTTCGATTTCGGTTGCCAGTAATAATACAACTGAGGCTGTTTCCATTCACAGTAAATGAAAGCAATGAACTTTTATGCAACGAAATTGTATTACGGATTTTTTATTATTATTATAATTTCTTTTATTTCATGATTGCTGATATTTACGAAGGATTATGGATTGCAAAAATTTGAGAGGAATTCGATGATTTGTTGAAGCTCCATAGCTCAACTCCGTTAGCCCAAATAGGCCTATAGGAAATTTAATCTCTCCATTATATAAAAATGTTTTTATTTTATGTCATATTTTATTTCACTTTAGTATTAGGAGAGTAGATGGTCACAGGAGCTCTCATGATAGTTCTATAATTAGCAATAATTACACAGCTGATCATTTATTTACATATGTGTTGAGCTCCTGATACCTAATACTACTCTCCTAATACTCATAAGATTTTAGACTAAAAATTTGTACGAGAAATGGTATTTATTTATCTATAAATGGTAGTTATTTTTCAATCGAGAGATTTCCCCTATTATATTTTGTATAACATTATTTATATCATATTGTAATATAATTATAATTATTATGAGAAAAGGAAATACAATATAACGAACAATGAAAAAATTAGAAATAAAAGGCTTAAATTATTGTGGGCTTATGTGAAGCTGGACAAGTCGAATATATGTTATGATTAGCAATAAGAATAATTATAATTATATAATAATATAAATTGGCAAAAGGCGCTACGTATAATATATAGATTTAAAAAAAAAATTCCGAACTGTGTTTTTCAGTTTATTTTATGTCGATAAAAAAATAATACTATCTGGACTACAGAATACATGTAAATTAATGTTATGCTATTTGAGCAACGAGTAATACAATTAAATGAACAATTATATAATTTGTAAAATGGGAGTTGGTCCGCCGTTAGAACGATCGTTGATCCTCCTAGTTTCTTATGAATTAATTACATTGAAATAGTTGTTCTAGCAATGCCTGTAAAGGTAATACAATTATTTAGTAAATCATTGTGTTTAAATACCCTAACTATTCATGGAGATAAAAAAGTAAAAGAATTAAATATGACAGCCTGTTTTTTTGCTAGTCATAATCCGTTTCTAAATTTAAATTTGAGTATATTATCGTTAAGGGAGGAGGGTGAGAGGAGGGGTTTCTTTAGAAATTCTTGACGAAAATAGCCTTTGAGACAGTAACAATCTATCATCTTAACGTAGTCCACAGATTGCTTTCAACAGCCTACTGTAACTATTGTCTGCTCATTCTTTGGCTTCGAAAACGGTTCTTTTGTTCCCATAAACATTCACTGTAGTCTGTTTTGCATGTGTTGAGGTCTCATGATCGGATAGAATGCTTAACATTTCTTTTTTAAATTACTTTTTGGATAAATGTTTATGAGAATATAGAGAGTTTCCAGTAAGTAGTGGGAGCTATTTAAAGGAGTGATAACAGACTTCAAGAGCTCCAAAAAAGTTTATATATTGCTACGTTTTAAGGTTTTAAATTTATTCGGGATGTCACTGTATAATTATTGATGACAATTATCCAGACATGTTTAATATAAATAATTAATAAAAAAATAGTAAAATAAATTTGAATCTATAATATATTGATTTGTCCAGGATTAATTAATTGGATTTCTTTTCTCAAAGGCTAGTTTGTGCTTTCTTCATGCTTTCTAGTTCATGCTTTATGCTTTATGATTTATGCTTCTAGTTCATGCTTTCTAATTACCAACATTACCTGTGATCATCATGATATAAATAAATGGCAGAATTAAATAAACATTGACTAAAAACCTGAATTTGTCTCTATGTTTAATAAAGAATTATATACAAATATCATAGAAATCCTAATGTGCAAATACTGTATACTATAAACTAAATATATGGTTCGAAGAATTCAATAATTAACTAGATGGACTGTTTTGAGAGTTGTATTGCCATGAAATATTCTAACATTGATAAATTTATTGTTGAGAATAACACTTATCTACTGCATATGAAGTGATGTAGTTGGTAGATTTCATCGTTGCATCAGCTGGTCTATGTCGGGCCAAGGCTTCAGTCCCCAAGCCGGGAGAAAACATAAGACCTATTCTCAAGGGCGGAAATCGACGTAAGACCTTGTTATTCCTTCTCGGTAGATTTTATACAAATATTCACGGTGAGACAAGGGTGGTTTTCATTGGTTCTTAACTTCACTCTATTACTTCACAATAACTGGTAACACCCTAAAAGGAACCAGTTACTTAGACCGTTACTGATTTTTACTCTGAGCCTCCCCCAGGGTCCAGGTATAGGTCGGTCCTTACAGGTTCCAGACCTGATGTGTTTGGTGTCAGGATATTCCAACATCTCATAATAATTTAAATAACTTATGTGCTATGTTCAATACATAGCAATATGCAGTGGTCCGATTTTCGGTAGAAGATTAGAAAATTTAAATTTTGTGTTTTTTTAAGTGTTTTGTTAAATAGGAAGCGAATACTAAAAATACATTTGAGCAATTAACAAT